GGCGTTTTGAGATTGGAGGGGCTTTCCCAAACTTGAAAGGCCAGTTTTCCAGACACAGATTAAGCCTAGTCAAGGACTAAATTACGCTTTGAAGGGAGAGACTTCAGTTGAAATCCTTTTTAGTCTAGGTCTAAGTATAATCTGTATGTAAGGATGGGTAACAAAAAATATAACGTGCTGCTTAAAGTCATTTTCACAATGCACATCGGTGAATCATTTTCAGTTTGGTTCACCAAGAGTGCCACATAAAAACAATGCTGCACAGTTCAGTGGTTGAGATGTAAACAAAGTGAAATGTTATATTGTGGAGAAATTTACTGACTCAGATTTCTTTACAGTGGTGGCGATGGGAACCAGCACTCGTGATGGCTTCAGGCTAAATGCAGCTCTTTTATTTAATATCATCAGTGAACCTACTCGTGCCTTCTGAGTTTTTATGTTGATAATAGCAAAATAGTGGTTAATTTGGGAAAAAAGGTTTTCTTTGGGGACTGTTTGCCTTAAATGCCCTTTATGTTCCTCTTAATTTTTAAAAATATGTTTTAGGTCGTAACCATTTCATGTAATAGTTTCAACAGAACAAATCTGACTCAGTATGTTTCTAAATAATGCATTTAACATCAAATCCCTCTTAATAACCTTGTTTACACCTTGAGACTTTCATCATGCAGACATTTTGAAACATCAGTGAAATTCCACTTTAACTCTTTTGGATGTCTTGACAGTCTCCTCAAAACTTTTAATACTTTTTGATGATAACTATGAAATAATCAGAAAAGTGTATTTTATTCATGATAATAATATATCGTGACATTGCCCACCACTAGTAGAAACCAAGCCCAGAGTGCCCCGTTTCTCTCTTGAAAGGGCTGTTGGCTCCTATTCTTCTGCTTTGTGCTGTCAGTTTAAACCCAGTTCACCCCTTTAGGGCAGTCGAGTCAGTTGCAGTCCAGAGTGACTATTTGTTGTTGATTTTATGCAAACTGTTTGAGTAACGTGTTTGTGTTTTAATAAATCACAGTAACGGTCCGTTATTTCTGCGTTAGCATCGATCAGATGCACATGCGGTTCTGACATAGCAGTAAACAAGATAATCAGAATGGAATTTTCTGGAATCGCACAGAATACGACCATCTGTCATGACTGATCTACGTGATCATCTCAGCGAAATGGTGCAAGTCTTTCTGTCCTTTTTGTTCTATATGTTTTCATTGTTTTTTCTTTTTTCTTTCATTCTTTCATTCATACTTTCCGTGAAGGCATAAACGCATGCTTTGTGTACCTTCACTACAGTAGCAAGATGTCTGAAACAGTAACTTTACAGAAAAAGGAAAATTACACGTTTAATACACGTTCAGTGTAATGAGATGGTACTCCAAGTAACTTTGGGCCGTTTCTGTTGGTCAGCTGTTCATGTTCAGCCAATCTAAAGACCAGCTGTTCAAATAGTTCAAAACATGAATCCCAAGAAGTTTACAAGGTTTGATACAACAGCACCAATACAAACATGCTGTCACAATACATTACAGTTTCAAAGAGGCACTTCTGGAAAGTTCTGTCATCAGAACAGCGTTTCTTGTTTGACATCTGGGCAATGTTCTATATCAGTTGGGAAACTTAACACGGCACATAGCAGTTCTGGACAAAAGCCACAGCAGTATGCTGGAAGTGATTATTGCCTGAGTTCATCTCTTAGTCAGGAAGATGATAAGCGTTTCAGCGGTTTGGAGTGCGTTCATTTTTTACAGCCTGCTCACAGAGCCAGAAAGTTCTTTCTTCCCTGTCAACAATCAGCGCACCAAAGAAAGATAGTTCAGTCATAGTTATGGAGGCTTGTTGAGAGACCCTTCCAAACACATTTTTATACACACACACACTTAGACCCATACACACACACACACAGATGCCATGTCTCAATCTCTCTCTCTCACACACACACACACGGTGTGAGTCGTCCTCAAATTCAACAGGAAACACATGGAGCGAGCTCCACAAAGGCTGCACTGTTTCCACTGGGCATTTCCTTGGAAAGCTGCAAGCTAGTAGTTGGATCTCATCACAGCATTTGTAGTTTAACTTTCCTTTATATTACCCCAACATCAGATTATCCGGTTGTATGTGCTGAGGGTGTAACGATACACAAATTTCATGATGTGTTTTTTGTGCCACAGTACAGCATGTTTTTGTTATAGAAGCAAAAAGAAATGCCAATATTTTGCTTTATTTTGGTAGAAGTACTAGGCTGCAGTGTCCATTGAAAGCGTAATTAACGCAGATGAATTACTTTCTTAGAAGACAAATAAATATAAGTTCATGAAAAGTGTAACAAACAAGTCAGTCATTATTGAGTCAGTATTAGGACTCAACTCACAAGAAATTTGTATCTGATACAGATTTTAGGGGGTTAAAAATTCTAATAACCCATAATATCAGCCGATATAACTGTCTATATTGTAGATTTTTGATTTTGTACTCCAGTAGTTTTAGTTAAACAGCACTTTACTGACAGATCTGATTGTAATTTCTCAGTTGTCACATTTCTTAAGCTCAAATAAACAGCAGAACCACATAGTCTTAAATAAAAAGCTCCCTGGACAAAGAATTTGTCGCATACATCGTTGCATCCAGTACTTGGTTAAGCATCCAATTGCCTTAATGGCAGCACCAATCCTGGCAAGTCCATTTTAGCCCTGTCCTCCTCTAACTTTGTGCTTCATGTCCAAACTAAATTTAATGTTGATGTTCCCACATTCCAGGAAAGTAACTGTAGGGTGTTTGTATGTGACTGGTTCAACAGACGTGATGGTACACTGGGACAGTCTGACTGACCAGAAAAATCGTCAAACCTCAATCTCAGTTCTCATTGTGGAAAAGATGCTGAAGTGCTGAAATAGACGCACACAAACTCTGACTGAAATTATAGTGGAGAGGATTACTGAGCCAATTAGCCATCAGATTCATAAAACTATCTGTTTTATAGTTGATAATTTGATTTGATCTTATGCTTATCAGTCAGAAGTATTTGCCAAAGTATAATTTGCATCCCTAATAGAGACTGTACATGTTTATCGTTAATGTATGAATTAATGTGTGCTTTCTGTAAAAGACTCTGTAACAGACATGGCTCAGAGCTGAACACACAATGTATGTTCAAAACAGTTTTGCTCACTGATTGCCCTCTGGATAAACCCCCCGTTCATGCCGTGATTTAGTAAAAAGGACTTTTTGTTGAGCAGTCTCCCATCATGATTTTAAAAGGCTTGATTGACAACATTGACAGCTTGTAACTGTTCTCCAGTGAGATGCCAGCTGTTTCGGATTAACCGCCACTCCTGAAAGAGCTTTTAGCTTATGTTTTTTCATTTTCTTTCATGGCCAAAGACGGCCCACCCTCTTTGGCTTTCAGCATGATGACATGACTTGATTTTTAGTAAGATCTTGTCAAATGTGAAGTCTGTCATGAGGATGTGTGCACAATCCATGGTCCAGTTAGTTAGGTTATTATTTTTAAGACTTCATTTTTCCTTTTTCGTTTTTCATGCTCATTATTTTCCCTTTTTTCTCCCAGTTTGATGGGGTGTTTTCCTTCCAGTCGTAGGTCCTCTGGGACGGCACAAGCTGCACACACTTCCTCTGGTGTGAATAAAATTTGCCGTCTCACGTTTTCAGTCTTCCAGCCACACAGCATTGGTAGATCCACAGTGCATTATGTTTTGGCTTTAGTGTGTTGCCTTCACTTGATCTGAAGAGGGGAATTCCCCATGTTAAAAGGTCATGAACTTATAGGCTGATCTCAGTTGGATGTAAGCAGCCTTTTGTATTTCCTTTAACAAAGTCAATACAAAACTCTTTTACAGCTACAAGTACCCAAAACCTTTTCTTACAGTGTCACAAGACATGTAAATGAGATGGTTTGACATTAAATGCTTTTGATGAACCTTCTTTGTAGATGCATATTAGAATGTAGCAGATGAGTGTTTCATTTATTAGGGAAAGATCCACAGATACTTTTATAGCAAAATGATAAAAGAAACGTAATAACACTACTTTAGAAAAAAAGAAAAAATAGTTCTTGATCAGTATAACCATATAAATGCTTGTGTGTTCACTGTTATTCTGAAAAGGACAGAGGTATTTAAAATATAAATAATAATAATCATATATACACACATATATATGTGTGTGTGTATGTATGTATGTATGTATGTGTGTGTGTGTGTGTGTGTGTGTGTTTATATATGTGTGTGTGTATATATATATATATATATATATATATATGCAACACCAAAGGGGATCACGTCAGTAACTATTTAATAATATATATATCATATGTATGTATGTATGTATGTATGTATGTATGTATGTATTTTAATAAATAGTTACGACAGCCCTGACGTGATCCCCTTTGGCCTTGCATGTCAAGAGCTCACACATCTAGATAAGTAATGACTTAACTGTAAATCTCCCTGAAGTAAAAAGCACAATTGAAGGGTATATTCTTAAGTCCAAATGAGAGGCAGCACAGTTTTTAGAGGCTGACGCTTCAGAGACAAAAAAAAACTTCTGAACTCTCCATGTCTGGGACTCTCCACATCCTACCACATCCCCTTGTGGCTGAACACTGGTGTCACATTCACTTACTTTTGTCTTTCTTTAAGTTAGATGTCCTTCCTGTTTCTTGTGGCACTGTTTGCATTCTGATCTGGGGTCTGTTGCCTGAGCAGCTCCTGGAAGTTTGAATGTTTATAGAATTCTTTATGAAATTAATCTCTTCACTGTTTTTTTCCATATCGCCCTTTCCTAATTTACATAATAAAAAGGGTGTTAAGCTGGCAGTAAAAAAAATTCAAAACTGAAAAAAGGGGTATATAAACGTTTTTCGTAACCATTCTAATGGAATTGGAACTATCCTGATAGAGTCCATGGACCCTCATGTTCATTTGTCTTTAACAACCCATCAGTTCCTCTAACTTTGGCTTATCCTTGGGTGCGTCTTGCAGGTTCTTGTCTCCAGTCTTCACCAGTCCTGGGCTTGGAGGTCCCAGCCGTTGCCATGGATCCGGGCAGCTGGAGCGGCAGCGAGAGTGGCGGTGAGGATATCGAGCGAATGAGCGACTCAGCAGATAAGCCCATGGACAATGATGCCGAGGGCGTGTGGAGCCCTGACATCGAGCAGAGCTTCCAGGAAGCCCTGGCCATCTACCCTCCCTGCGGCCGCCGGAAAATCATCCTGTCTGACGAAGGGAAGATGTACGGTGAGTCAGATGATGAGAAGTAGACCTTTTGAAGGATTAAGTGAAAACAGATGAATGAATGGAATGAATGGTTTATTTTATAGCTGACGTCAGTAGGTTGTGGGTTGTGTGCAGTCCCGAGTTGTTTAATGGAATAGTTCTGATGCAAGTTGCTTATGAGATTCTGGGGAAAGTGGACTGTTCTCAAGAAGCTTAATCACTTCTAGTAGTGAGAGAGAGCCAGAGATGGTTTGCAAGCCTTAATGGAATCTCCCTGGACCACATGCATCAGACGTCTCTTGATCCATTCAGAGGTTCAGGATTCAGAGTAAGTTCTGTCCTCTGTCCACACAGCTACGTTCTTTAGAATATGAAAGGTAAAAACTGATCTCAGATCAGCACTCTGAGCTTTATACATGCTCGTGGTCCCCAGTGGCGGTGGCTCTGTCAGGCTGCTGTGTGGCGAGAGGCAGCTCTGATGGGTTCTGTTGTAAAGCCAGCGTGAACCATTAGAGAGGAGGAGCAGATGGTGTTTCGTCTGATACCAGCTGCGTTCTGCCCCCCTCCTCAACTCGCACGGGGTGATGTCATGGAAAGAGGGAATACTACGATCCCCCCCCACTCCCATTCTTTTTTTTCTTTTCCTTTTCTGTCTTTTTTCTCTGTCTGTTTTTTAAAACTTTAAAACAGTCTCTCCATATCTCTCGCTCTCCCTCTGTATCTAATTTGTCCTTGAGAAACTTGAAACACGTAGGATCGGTTTCCCAGACCCGGATTAAGTCTAAACCTAGATTAAATTTTTTCCTCAAAATTTCTTTATAATGGAATTGTTAAAATATAAATAGAGTAATTCTGAGTGGTTTGATGTGCCATTCTAGAGAAACTTGACGAGTCAGATTGGTTTACAGTGGTGGTGATGGGAAGGTCTGAAGAGGTTAATGTCCCTAAAAGCTGTCTCATGTAAAGTTATTACATACAATGATTATGATGTCTGAGACATCATTTTACAGTAGTTTTGCATTAAGGTTTTGGCCCAACTCGCATTTTTGAAAATCCTTTCATGATGGAGAGCTGTAAGGTAAAATAGGACCCAAAGAAAACTTATTGTTGGGTTTTACCAGGATTTTACCATTAGCTTTACTGATATTTCTTTAAATTTATTTATTTATTTTATTTTACCTTTATTTAACCAGGGTAATCACATCGAGATTAAAAATCTCTTTTACAATTGAGCCCTGGCCAAGAAGGCAGCACAAAAAAACAGTCAACAAAGAAACACCACCAAACCACCAAAATCAAATCAGGGTCAAAACCAAATTAAAAACAAGAACAAACAGAATGATACAATTCCTTAACAATTATCTTAAAATCACTCAAGGAAATAAATTGCTCTAATTTCAAATGTTTTTGCAGATCATTCAATGCAGATGGAGCACTGTATTCAGACTGTACTATCGGAACGTCCAGCTGAATTTAACTATCAGAACGTAAATTGTACCAAGACTTGTTTGTTGATACGAAACATGATACAATCTCAAAAGACGTGTAATTTCTGGATAGTAGATAAGCTTATTTGTGTTCCTGTCACCACCACAGCAAAGAAATCTGAGTTGGCTACTTTCTCTCTAATGAACCGTTTCACATCAGACCACTCTGAATGATTCTGTTTGCATCTCAGTGATTGACTGATGCAGAAATTTCAAAAAAATCTGTGGAATTCTCCTTTAAGCAGCCACTTATGTGTTGTTCCTGTACACTTGCTTTCATTTTTCAAAGCTAATTAGTTACCATACTACTTTCAAGCTACATGCTCACTGAAAAAATGATATTGATCTGATAATGAATTTGCCTCGTTGAATTAAAGGGATGAATTTTCTTTGCATTGAACTGTCCTTTGAAAGCTTAGCCTTTCATCTTAACCGGAGGATATCAAAGTTCTCTTTAGCCCATTGTCTTGGTAGAAGGCCAAGGGCTGTGTTTGTATTCCGCCACAGCAGATTTGAACGTGGGTCCTGAGTGCCCTCACTCACACTCTTCTTCCTGCTCTATGCAGATAATTAGCAGCCATCTCTATAGCAACTGGCTTTCACTTCAAAACAATGTGTCATCCCCCCTCATACTGGGGCTTATCTAGCTGTTTACCTGAGGGGCCGAGCTTATCTCTCCGTGTACCTGAGGGGCACTCCTCTGTGCCCGAGTGGCATCAGCCTAGTGGTTTCGTGCCAACTCCGGAGTTTAGTGCTGAGGAGGCTGGAAACCACGGCAACAGCTGCGGAGTGGACGCTCCGTCCAGCAGCTGGGCGAGCGGGTGACCTCAGCTGACCACACACCCTTCACACAAAGCCATACAGCAAGTGCCAAAGAAAAGATTTTTGCTTTTTAATTTCATTTTTCCCTTCATGCAGTAGTGTGCCTGCTGTTTCTTTTCCCGCTTTCAAGCTGCAGCATAACCATAACCTGCGAAAGCCTTTTGTCTTTGTGGAACAAATGTCACAAGATTTTTTTTTCCCCCCTCTCTTTTGAGATAATTAGCGCATTTCTTTTGTCAGCTCTCCTATCGGAAGCTACTGTTGTACTGTTTTTGAGAGTGATTAACCCGGGCGGAGAGAGAGCATGCCTTAATTAGATTTGACAGTCTCCTACCGAGGCTGATGAAGGACTGATTTAATCTTGGTGCTTCCACTCGAGAAATGAACCGCCCTCAGAGGAGTTTCAGCTGTGCCCGAGTCTAGCCTGGGCTCCTATGGATTAAGTCTTATTTCGCTGCCCATAGGATCAGAGCCACTCTCTGTATAATTTTATTAGACCTATGGGTGGTACTGGCATACTGGTGCGTTTGAAATGGCTCTCGTAATAGAGAGTTTTGTTCGTGATGTAGTAATACCGTCTAGTTGATCAGCCCAAAATCACTTGTAGTTCTAGAAACACATGTTCCAGAAGTATCTAAATATGTAATAAACGTGTTATCACTGTCATAAGAAAAGCTCATAGTGTAGAAATCATAACTATAAGAAAAGGTAAATACTTTGTTCACACAATGTAAACGGCAGTTAGAAAATACATATAAATACGGATGCACATGTATATGAATTGTGGACTGATGCTGGTTTCCATGTACGTATCTGCTGTTGCCATTACAGAGAAATTCTTTCTGTAGCATAACTAATGCAGTAAAATGAATAAAATGCAGTCATTTTAGCTCAGTAGCCCAGCATCAATATGTATATCGCTGTTGTCAGAAGAAAACCTAGTGTCTCCAAAATGATAACTTTACAGAAGAAGGAAAAAACCTACTTTACTTTTGATGCAAGTCAATGGAACCAGACTTTTTTCCAAGTAATTGTGGGCCATTTATCATTAAATTTAGAAACAATGTAAAGGACAACAGGCATTTTCAAATTATGACAAAAACATGACAAAATATTATGACATAATAACAACACTAATACCATCTTTTTGATACCAGCCTTTTTTTTGAGCAGTTATGTGCCGATACTGACATGATTCTGGTATCACTGTACATCCCCAAACAAATAAACAAACAAACAAAAAAAACAGACAATATTACAACTTAGTGTTTTGATATGATAGCAAAAATATGAACAAGAACTGAATCTTATTGTGAGAATTTAATCTGAATATCATAACACAGCAGCGTATGAGAGTATATAATGGAGCTGTTATTGGCTTTGATTCTTCTTTTTGTTAGTTTCCAGCAGAGATGGTCGTGTTTTGAAGTGTTTGCTTTTATGTACCACACCTGCATTAGAACTACATTGACCAACGCAGAGCTAGAGGAAAAAAGTACTGGTGAGGTGTTTGGTCTTACAGTCAGCTCTGTTGATGGAATTATGAGTACAAGCTGTGACTGTGGAGAGAAGACAGCAAGCGTTAATGCAGTTTTTGTTTCCAAGTTTCCAGGTTACCGGGGGAAACTAGAGGATTATGGGAATTGGAGTCACTCTAGGGTCATCTTCCAGCTAAGCAGTATTATTGCCAACATGGCATTTACATGGACATCAAATAACACAAGATGTGCTCACGATGTGCTTAAAGTATTCTCATGTTAGGGAAATAGACATGCAGTAATCATATCCATTGTAATGATATGCGTTTTCCAGCCTTAGTAGAGACATGTAGGGAATAAAATGTTCTCATTTATTGCCCAAGGGATTGTAAATAGTGTGCATAAGGAGCATTTGATAATTACAGTTTTATAATTACAGGTTTATAATATCTATTATGTTTATATTTTTGAATATTCCCTGAGAAAGGTGAAAAAAGGACAGTCTGTTTTTATTTATTTCCTTATAAAGGTAAGTATAAAATAGGATGTTTAAGATTTTTTTTTTAAATGTATTTTCCCTTGGCTGAGAGATGTGGGAGCTTTTCTACTCGTTTTTTCCTTTTTGAATTGCTGAATTAAAGAGGCAGACTCACTGTGTATGAAAGAACTGGAGAAAGTGCTTGTGAAAATGCATGTGGAATTGCTTTTTGATGAGCGCTGTATTGTGCCCTGGAGAAGGAGCTTTGACTTGAGTTGAAGAAGTCTTCACTTTTCATAATAGGCCTCAGGGCCACCCCAACAAAACCTATATATATTGTGTATGTGTGTTCCTGTATATGTTTAGAATAAAAAGCATTTGGCCTCTTTTGTGTTGCAGAAAATGGGGTCAGGTGATTTTTTTAAGCAGTATTTCAGAAATTAGATGCATTTTCTACCTACAAGGGGTCTTGGTGAACCTGGAAGGCCTCCTATAAAAAATATGGATACACTGTGAAGGCAGGTGTGTCTTCTTAGTGCCTTTATAGAATCTCAAAGCAAGAATTTTATACATGCTTCACAGTGGCCAACATGATAAGGACAAAAAACTGGAGCTATAACTATCTGTCTCATTAGTTCATATCATTTTCCATCACTGAATACCTGAGTACTAACACTGGTAACTGCATTGAGTTAAGTGTCTTTTCAGTTTGAAGATACCTGTGGGTTTTCTTTCTGAACCAACACAACTGTTGCA